TTTTTTTTTTTTTTTTTCTTTTGTCTTTTTCCGTGTCCGGCAACGGATCGCAACCGTCAGTGTTGCCCCCGTACCGGGCCAGGGACCGGCAACGGGATTGCAACCCTCGGTGTTGCTCCCGCGCTTCGCTCAGCCAGTGAGCGGGAACCGGTCTGTATGTGGGATCTGAACCCTCGGGCGGGAGCGCCGCTGCGCTTCCCAAGCGGCACACTATCCAGTGCGCCACCGGGCCGGCCCTCTAGCCTGTACTCTTAATCATGGTGTTATACTGCCTCAGGTGGACCATAGTGGGTATTGTCCCAGGGAAGTTAAAAACTTGGCCAGAGGCTTGGAAGTATTGGTGGAGCTGGAGTTCAGGAGGAAGGAGATAGATCTCCCTGGGCTGTTCTTTAACAGAATAATGGAAGGTGCGCTTGGAATAGAGATTACAGACAAGAAAGGTCTTCAAGGCTCAAGTTTCTGGAGGGAAGGTACTGTTAATCTTCCAGATCAGTGAGTGAAAAAGATGTAGGAAAGGCTCAATAATAAGAGCTGCCATTTCAAAAAGTACCTACTGTGTGCCTTATATATGTAATGTTTAATTCTCACAAGAGCCCTTAAGGTATAGGTATCATCATTATGTCCATTTTACAGTTGAGTAACTGAAGTACTCTGGTAATTTTGACTGGATAGTAAAGCTAGAAACCACTGATACAGAGGGAACTTTCATTTTATTTGGAAGGCAGTAAAGAGTCAATGAAGAGTTTATAGTTGGGAAATGACCAGAACTTTCTTTTGGAACTTAGTATATTGAGTTGAGAAATGATTTCTATGGTCTTTCTCTTTACCATAGGAAGTCCAGGACTGCTGCTACCTCCCTATGGCAGGATGGGGTGATATGAGGGTGGCTGGTCACTTACTGTATCTGTCGGTGCTGCCAGACAGGACTCGAGTCCATGGTTATTCCTCTCTCCCTTCCAGGTTTTCCTGCTCACGACTCTGCCCTTACAGAAAAGAGAAACACCAGAAAACACCAAAAGAAGAACACAAAGATGTTAGACAACCTACCATCAGCCAGGTCCCAGGTGAGTTAGGCTTTCTTTTGACCAGGTTCTCAAATCTGGGGATCTTATCTTCCTGATTTCTGGACCTTCCCAATTTCTGGACCTTCCCTATTAATAAAATCCATATCCTCATTTCTGTTAAGTCTTTATATAACTATCACCATACTGAGCCTTTTCCCTGACTACACTATCTAGAATTTTCTTCTAACTCTTTGTATCCCCCTTCCCTGCTTTTTTTCCCTCTGTTGCACCGTCAGCATCCCACATACTATAAATTTAATATTTTTCCTCTTTTCTCATCTCTCAAAGAAATTATTTGTTTGTTTTTTAGTATTTCATTTTATTCAAAGCAACCCTCATGTTGTTTGGGCTATTATAGTTTCTTTTTATATAGGAAGGAATGCAGGCAGAAAGGTTAAGTAACTTGCTGAAGGTCACATGGCTGTTAAGTGGTAGGTCTGGGATATGAACTCAGGCAGCCTGAATTCAGAGTGCACATTCCTAATCCCTTAGTTATTGCTGTCTCCTGCAGTGCCATTACTCCAACTTAGGCTGGAAAGATTTAGCAAATAAAAACACAGATCACCCAATAAAATTTGAGTTTCAGATAAACAATGAATAAATTTTTAGCATAAGTATGTCCTATACAGTATTTGGAACATACTTATTCTAAAAATTATTTTTTGTTTAGCTGAAATTCAAATTTAACGAGGCATGCTGAAGTTTATCTAGCCATCCCATTCCAACTAAATTTTTAGATTTGTGAAATTTGAGACAGTGGAGTTCATTGGGAAGCACGGACAGGCTAGGATAGCCTAGAATTTTTTTAAAAAATGAAATATAATATGTCCTGCCATGTATTTCCTTCAAATAATGAATATTTTAATGAAATCACCAAATATAAAGCTTTTTTGCTTTATATAAGATTATACAGATGGGACTGGTAGTACCATCATCTGTTTGTTCACCAATGTTTACTGAATTCCTACTTGCATTAGGCCCTATTTGAGAAAGAAAAGAATGTGCTTGAAACCATGTAGGTGGCACTGAAGAGTCACAGAACGATTGAAAAGGAACTTTTCTTTGAAAGTGATGTTCTGGAACATGCATTCTCACTGGGGGTGATATTGCCTCCAAGGGGACAAACGTGGTTCTTAGGCATGAAAAATCATTCTTTTTACATGTAAAGCACAGATATGCATACAGTACATACACAGATATATAGTAAGTCTGCAATATTAAAATTTCATGGGAGTACTGTATTATTCTGTTTATGTGTAATGTCCAGGAGAGGCAAATCTGTAGAAACAGAAAGTAGATTAGTGGTTGCCTAGGCCTGGGGAAATTTTTGAGGGAAATGAGTGACTTAAAGGGTACACAGTCTCTTTTTGGGGTGATAAAAAATGTTCTGAAATTGATTGGGGTGATGACTGTACAAATCTGTGCATATGCTAAAAACCAATGAATTGTATACCTTAAATAGGTGAATTATAGGTATATGAGATGTAACAAAGCTGTTATTTAAAAAAAAAAAAACAAGAAATGCAGCATCTCTGGTCCCACCCCAACCAACTGAGTCAGAATCTGCATTTAACAAGATTCCCAGGTGATTTGTGTGCACTTAAAGTTTGAGAAGCATCTAATAAGGATGTATGTGGATCAATGCTAATTTATAATTATTCCAAAAAGTATATCTATGTGGTCAAGGACTGGAAGGTACTTTGTGACAATGAAAATAGTTCAAATGGAGATAATCCCTCCCAACCACACAAAGTATGTGGCCTGCTAAAGGTCCTCAACCAATAGCAGCTCTTATAGGGACATAATACTGTTGTAAATTTTTCATTCTTTCTTTTTCTTACTTTTTCCAAAAATCTCCTTAATGTTCATGTGAAATCACATTTTAGAAACCTAAAAGACAATAATGAGGTTAATGTGCTGTGCTTTCTTTGGAACCAGAAAAAAAAAATCACTGGGGGATGGTAATTAGAGAAAATTATCTAAAAAGGCTCCTTGGTAGGGAGAGAAGGAAAAAAGTTTGATTTACAGTGTTCAAGAACATCTGCTCCTGAGAGTAGCCATCTGTTCCTACCTTGTCTATGTCAGGGATCCCAAGTAAAGATGCTTCCGGGAACTGCTGAGGTAATAAATAAGGAATTGGTCTGCGTAGATTACGGCAAACTGGCGAGTGCCTACCCCATATAAATCAGCAGCTGTGACTAAGCTTGTGCTAATGGTGCCATGTGAGCATGTAGACCCAGGTCCCTAGATCTTATGTTTTTTTTTTTTTTTTTTTTTTTTAGAGAAGCCAAAAATCCATATAGTAACATGAAATCTCCTAACTTTTTGGTGTTAGTAGGTAATATTAATTTTATAAAAGGAGTTAAGAAACCCATGTGAGTAAAATAAACCCCTCTGTAGGAGCTGGGCAGCCAGTACCTGACCTCTAGTCTAATGTGATGTTCACTGATCTGCATAATAAGCTTTAGAAAGTTTCCATTACAACACAAAAGATGTGTACTAACAAAATTAGTATCATAGTCTTATGAAGTCTTCTAGTATCTGCCTTTTAAATTCAACCCTAGGTTACCAAGAATGTTGTATTGTAACTGTAGTTTGTTAATTTGTATTGCTGGAATATTTCATGGTATCACTATGCCATATTTATCTCTTCTACTGTAAAAGGATGCTTGGGTTGTTTCCAGATTTCGGGTATTATCAACAATGCAAACAAGCCCATATGGGTCTCCAAGAACACATGAACAAATATACCTAGGAATAAAATTTCTGGCTCCAAAGTGCTTTACCTATTTACATTTCCCTTAGCATTTTATAAGAGATGTTGTGGATCCATGATCTATATAACCTTTGGTATTGTCAGAATTCTTAATTTTTTTAGCTGAATGAATATAAAATGGTACTTTGTCATTTTGATTTATATTTTCCTTTTTTCTAGGAAGATTAAATCTCTCTCCATATTTATCAGCTCTTTTGAGTTTTACAGATGAGACACTGAGGCTTAACCTACCAAAACTCACAAAGCTAATAAGAACCAGAGCCAGGACATGAACCAAACTCTCTGATTCCTGAGGCTGAGGTATACTGCTGAGCTTTTAAATGTTTGCATTCTTGCTTTCTTTCTTTACAAAGTGGCTTAAAAGGATCTTTTCCCTCCAGCCCAAATCTGTGGTAATTAGCAGCAGGAATTGTCTCAGAAATGTTCCTACTTCTGGCAGACCATAAGACAAAGACAGGTGCATGGCTAGGCCCCTGTGGCCTCTGGATTAGAACACTTGAAAGATTTCTGCGGGTCTGAATGGCTGCTTCATGTTCAGTGCTCTCTCATGAGGCTCCCTTCCCCCATGGTTCTTGGACTTTGATCATTTAGGATCATTTCTGCTGTTTTAGGAGTTGGTGACCTTCAAGGATCTGGTTGTGGACTTCAGCCCAGAGGAATTAAGCTACCTTAGTGCTGTTCAGAGGAACCTCTACCGGGAGGTGACACTGGAGAACTACAGGAACCTGGTCTCTGTAGGTAAGTATCCTTTCTGCATGGAACTTGTTCTTTGCCCACTATGGCAGTGGTTCCCAACTCTTTCATGTCTTCTCATAAGAAATCGTGGTTCATTATGTCAATGAGTCTCAACCCATGTCAGAGGCAATTTTATATTAAACTCACTCTTAACCTCATAAAATAGCTAACATTTATTGAACACTTCATTTATGTCAGGCACTGATTTAAATGTTCTACATGTTTTAACTCTTTCAGTCCTCACACTAGTCTAGTCCTATGGAGGGAAGTATACTTCTTATTGTTGTTTTTGTTATTAATGCCATTTTACAGATGAGGAAACTGAGTTATGGAAAAGTTAAAGCTGGGATTTGACCCCAAGTGATCGGATTCCAGAATCTGCCCTCTTAAAGTCATTAGATCATTAGATCACCTTTCTTTTTAACTTGAATATGCTTATTTTATTAACACCACGGGGTTTGCTTCATCGGGTCTTAGCACAATAGGAGGCTCAAAATGATGTTTTTTGAATGAGCAATGGGATTGCTGAAAATTCTAGAAGGTCCAAAGGCTTCTACTGGATTCAAGGTTTAGGAGTTAGAGACTGCCAGTCTCACTTCATATCCAGAGGCAAAATTGTTTACCTCTCCTCACAATTGAAAACTTTTTGTTGCCAGTTCCAGGATCTTCTTTCAGTGGCTTTTTTGGGGTTTTGAGATCTCCTGAAAAAATAGAATAGAAAACAAACACAATTTCTATAGCAGTAACCTGGTGCTCTTATTCGTATAAAGTCAGAGACCTAGTTGGAAGACGGACATACCTTACTTCAAACCAAGCACACGGAGGTGTAATTTTAGTGATGATTTTTATCAGCCACAAGGAAATGCCTTCCCAACATACTTTACACTCTTCTCTAGGTTACCACATTTTGTGACTTAAAATGGAGGGAAGAGTATTGAGAGAGGGAATAAATCAGTTTCATCTTTTCAGCCTGTATGCAGTGACCTGGAGGCATTTTGGTCTTCTTGTAAGCCCTTGGCTTCTTATAACACTGAAGGTTTTGGGTTAATAGAGATCTTATACATCACCCAGGACATTGTCTTCCCAAGTGTGGAATGAATACAATGGGTTAAATGGAGGGTATTTTAGGCAGTATAAGGACAGCATGCAATAATCCTTCAGTAAATGCGTGAGGAAGAGGCTCCTCTTCTAGTTTTCTTTCAAACCTTTTGATTGTATCAGGTAGAAAGTGTCGGATTGGTGTTAGCTTGTCTCTGCATCTTGCTGATCTTCCATTTTAGCAAAGAGTGAGCAGACTCCAAGCCCTGAGCATTAGATAGACAACAGAACCTAGCTAGCACTCAATAGTGTTAGTTTCTATTGTATTTATTGTTGAATTACCCTCAGTTTTTTTTCTCACAAGCAACATTGGTTTTTATTTATAGAACTGATACGAAGCTTTCATTTAAAATAAACATATTCACCATGGCCATTTAGTTCAGTTGGTTGCAACATGGTGCTAATAAAATAAGTGTATCCAAGTTAAAAAAAAAAGGTGATCTAATGAAAAATATTAAATACTAAATACTACTATAAATGACACATAAATATAACCAAAATATGAAGGTCATTCATTAATTTGTCAGTGAACCCATGATGTGCCAGGTCTGGTATAGGCATTGGGGTTATAAAATAGATGAGAATTCCTGTTCTCCTGGATGTTATATTTGAGTGAGGAGAAACAGATAGTAAACAAGTGCCTAATAATGTGATGTGGTCTGCAAATGACTGAAGTTTAGAAAACAAGAAACTGAGGGAGGGAGAGGAGCAGCATTTGAAGACAAAGGGGGGATGGAGGTTATCACAGGAGGAAAAAGAGCCATAATGCTGTTCACTTTTTGAGTGGCTACGTCAGATTTCTCATGCTGAAATACAGAGCCCAGCACACTGTCCTCAGGCCCCCTTTTCAGTTTTTGCTCTATAGCAGAGTTTTTCAACCTCAGCACTATTGATGTATGGAGCCAGATAATTCTCTGGGTGTGGGCTGTCCTGTGCACTGCAGGATGTTGAGCAGAGCAGCTCTGCTCTACCTACACCCACTGGATGCCAGAACCACCTGCCTCTTCTTCTACAGTTGTGACAACCAAGGATATGTCCAGACATTGCCAGATGTCCCCTCGGGAGCAAAGTCGTTGAGAATCACTACTCTACAGGCTTGGAAGCAGGTTTCGTTTTATTCCCATGAGAGTTTTCTCCTTATTATCCCAAAGTCCTTAGGACCCAGGGTTGAGAGTTGCTGAACCCCCAAATTATGAGTCTTCCTTCTTCAACAGGGCATCAGTTCTCTAAACCTGACATCATATTACTCCTGGAAGAGCAGGAGTCATGCGTGATGGAGGAAGACAGTAACACAGTGATAAGTCAGGGTGAGTAGTGAAGGGGAAGCCCAAGGAGACTGGAATTAGGGTAGACAATACCCCCGCCCAGTTAGTGGGCAGGGAGGCTGGGAGATGCTGGTCAGGGAGCATTCCTCAAAGCCCACCAGGTCAGGGAGAAGAATGGTAGGTGCTCTTACCTCAGGGGCCCTTTCTCCTTAGTACTTTCTTTTCTCTTTTTGTTTTTTAATTTATTTTTTTCATTGTACATGTTTATGGGATACAGTTTGTTATTTCAGTATATGCATATATTGCATAATAATGCAATCAGAATAGTTAACATATCTGTCATCTAAACATTTATCACTTCTTTGTGGTTATAACATTACAAGATCCTCCTTTCTGGCTATCTTGAAACATGCAATGCAATATTATTAGATGCATAATAATGCAATCAGAATAGTTAACATATCTGTCATCTAAACATTTATCACTTCTTTGTGGTTATAACATTACAAGATCCTCCTTTCTGGCTATCTTGAAACATGCAATGCAATATTATTAGATGCATAATAATGCAATCAGAATAGTTAACATATCTGTCATCTAAACATTTATCACTTCTTTGTGGTTATAACATTACAAGATCCTGACACCCTAGAGCACCAGAACTTATTCTTCCTATCTAACTGTAACTTCATAACTTTTTACCAGTCTACCAACTTTTCCCCATCCCCCGCTTCCCTCTCCCTTTCCCTGCTTCTGGTAACCACTATTTTACTCTCTATTTTTCTCTTTTTTTTCCTCTTTTAAATTTATTTTTCTTAACTGACCCATGATAATTGAATATCTTTATGGAGGACAATATGATATTTGGGTACATTCATACTGTGTGCAATGATATCAGGGCGCTTAGTATATCTGTCACCTCAAACGTTTGTCACCTCTTTGTACTGGGAATCTTCAACATCATCTCAGTAAGCTATCCAAAGATACACAGTAGTTGGTTGTTGACTGTAGTCTCCCTATATTGCTATAGACCACTAGATCCCATTCTTCCTATCTCTACAATTTTATCTCTACTGACCACCATCTCTCCATAAGCCCCTTTCTCTCCCCCGCATTGGTCTCTAGTAACCACTCTCTGCTTCTCTGAGATCAACTTTTTAAACTTTCACATGTGAGTAAGGACATGTGGTATTTCTCTCTCTATGCCTGGCTTATTTCACTTAATATAATTTTCTCTAAGCATATCCATGTGCCTGCAAATGGCAGAATTTCATTCTTTTTTATGGCTTAGTAGTATTCCATTTTTTATATATATATGCATACAACATTTTCTTTATCCAATCATCTGTTGAAGGACATTTAGCTAGCTCTTGGCTAGAAGAATAGAGCCATGATAAACACGACGCAAGTATCCTTTCAACTTGTTGATTTCCATTCCCTTGGATATACACCCCATAGTGGGTTTGCTGGATCATATGGTAGTTCTATCTGTAGTTGTTTGAGAAATCTCCATACTGTTCTCCATAATGGCTGTACTAATTTACGTTCCCACTAACAATGTATAAAATTAAAAAAATTTTTTTTAAATTTAATTTTAAAAACTTCTTATTTTATTTTTTAATTGACATGTAATAATTGTACATATCCAGCCATAAAAAAGAATGAAATCCTGTCATTTGTGGCAACGTGGATGAGCCTGTAACACATTTCTTTTATTGAAATGTAATTGATTTTATATGTCTGTGGGGTGTAGCATTGAATGTCATTTCTTGTCTGCAATATGTGATGCTTAAATCAGGATAATTAGTATATTCAGCATTACAGAATGTAATCATTTTTTGTGGCCCTTTACCAATTTCTTGTTAACCCCCCTCTCCCTCCCCCTTTCCCACCTCTGGTGGCCTCAGTTCTGTTCTCTCCTTTTGAAAGCTCAGTGTATTACTGTAATTGTTTTATCTTTCTTTCTTTCTTTTTTTATTTATTTGTTTATTTTTTTAAACTCCCATTTATGAGTGAGGACACGTGGTATTTCTCTTTCTATGCCTGGCTTATTTCACTTAACATAATTTTCTTCAAGTTCATGTTGCTGCAAATGGCAGAATTTCATTTTTTTTTATGGCAGAGTAGTATTCCATTGCGTATATATTACACGTTTTCCTTATCCAGTCGTCTGTCAGAGCCTATTAGACATTATGTTAAGTGAAATAACTCAGACACAGAAAGAAAAAAATCACATTTTCTCACCCATATGTGGGAGCGAAATATGTTGAGCTCATAGAAGAAGAGAGTAGAATTGTGGTTACTAGAGGCTGGGAAGGGTATGGGAGATAGGAAGAAGTTGGTTAACAAATGCAAAATTACAGCTGTATAGGAAAAATAAAAGTTTTAGAGGTCTACAGTAGTGCTAGGAGTCTATAATTAATAATTTATTGTATGTTTTCAAATGACCAGAAAAGAAAAGCTCAAATACTCCCATCACAAATAAATTATAAAGTTTTGTGCTGATGGGTATGCTCATTACTCTGATATTATCATCACACATTGATTAGAGTACTTTTTTTCAGATTTCTGACAACCATCTGGGTTGGATAATTCCTTGCACAAAATAGGCATTTAATAAATGTTGCATTGAAAGGAATTAGTTGGTTGGCTTTGTAGATTCGGGTAAAACCAGAGATTGGGAGCCAAGAGGAGAGTTAGAATCCTTTTGCTTTATTCTGAGCAAGAAGGCTTTTGACCAGTGTTTATTCTGGTGTTTCCTCAGTGGTCCCGAAGACTCATGGTCATAGGTGTTTCTTTGTGTGTGTGTGTGTTGTTTGTTAAAGTTTCTGTGGTAAAATCTGGTTGAGAAATGCCACATTCTGTACCTTCGCTCTTTCAGATTTGAGGTGCCTATTAAAGTTCTGAAGACTCCTACAGGAATGAAACCTGCTTAACTTGTATCATACAGTATTTCCCAAATTAACTTGACAGTGGAACCCGTTTTAGGGTCACAGCTATTAGTTTTTCAGAATATTAGAGATCTACAAAGCATGGTTTGGAAAATGCTGACAAACCCCAATCTCAGTTCTTTCTCTGGTTTCCTCCTCATTCTACTGTCTATGGAATCTCTGTCAATATAAAGTCCTCCATGGTCCCTTTTCTGCCTCTTCCTCACCCTTTCTTGCTTACTGTCCTTTCCATCCTTTTCCTGTTTTCTCCTTAGGTTCCCACAAAACTCTCAAATCTCCATTAGCCCTGTTCCATTGTCTTTGGTCCCTTCTGTTTCTACTATAATGGAGTGTCTGTCCCAGTAGAAAGAGTAGAGGAAGCTTTACATTTCTTCTAGATTGGGAGAAGAGACCTGAAACCAAAGAACTAACTCCAGAGCAAAGTCTACCTATAGAAAAATCATCCTTGGGGACAGGTTTGGAGGCTCTGGCAGTGGGTAACTTCTCGCACATCTTTGTAGGCAAATCTTCTCCTGATGACCTGTCGGAATCACACCAGGGCAACCAGGAGAAACTTCTGCATCCTGTAACAATGAGTGACCCTAAGACCCTTGCTTAGGAAAGAAGTCATGGTAGTGATGAATTTGAGGAAAGCTCTAATCTTACTGAGCAACCAGAAAGTCCTCTAGGAAAAGATCCCAAGAATGTATTACTCCTGGAATGTATACCAGTCCTTAGCCAGTACACAATGAGCCTTTTCTCCAAGATACCAAACACAACAGATGCAAATTTTGCAAAAGAACCTTTAGCACCCAAATGGCCCTAGGAAGACATGAGCAGATCCATACTGGGAAGAAACACTTCAAATGTAAACAATATAGTGAAATCTTCTATCTCATGCCACACCTCCCGAGACATCGGAGCACTTATTCTGGTAAGAAGCTCTCTGGATGCAAGGAAGGTGGAAAGTCTTTGATCCAGCGTGCAATTCTCTGTGGGCATGTAAGAATTCATAGTCAGGAGGACTGCTATGAATGTTCTCAGTGTGACAAAGCCTTTATTCAGGATGTGCATTCTTTTCAACATCTCAAAGACCATCAGGCAGCAAGAGCCCTTCCCCCTAGGTTGCCACGCAACAAGACATATTTAATTAGCTATCAGCGGAAACATGACCATGTTGGAGAGAGAGCCTGCCAGTGTTGCGACTGTGGCAAAACCTTCAGTCAGAGGTCACATCTCATTCAGCATTATTGGATTCATGCTCAAGAGAGGCCTTACCAGTGTCAGCTGTGTGGGAAATTTTTCAGCCTACCCTCATACCTCACTCAACATTATCAACTCCATGCTCAAGAGAAACCCGTTGAGTGCAATTACTGTTGAAAAACCTTCAGTCAGAGAACATACTTTTCTCAACACCCTGGCTTCATCCTAGAGAGAGTGTTCTGACTTTGAGAAGGCCTTCCACCAACCTTCACACCTTATTAACAACTTGAATATTAATTATGGTGTGGTCAAAAAATAGTGAATGGTTGCAAGGGAATAGGACAACCTTTTTGCAAGAGGAGTTTTAGCATGTGTGTCAGTAGTCACACAGGCAAAAAGCTTACAAAGAATATTTTTGTTGCATAGGAAAGAAGCTAATAGACTGAACTTTTTCAGTGGTACTCGTTGAGTGAAGATCCTTGATTTTGACATCCCAATGAAAAAACTTATAACTGGCAGTTGGTCTTCAGACTGGCAATCTGTGGCCTGAGTTTTTATAGAAGAGTTTCCATACAATATATTCACCAGTCATATCAGCAAAGTGCACGGTAAAAAGAGTTTTGAGAAGTGCCTAGACTGATTCATCCAAAAAGCTGATGTAATTGGCAAAAGATTTTTGAGGAGTGCCTAGACTGATTCATCCAAAAGCTGATGTAATTTACATGGTACATCATAGTTTACAAAACATTGTTATATATATTATTTTACTTAATCCTTCAAGGAACACTGCAGAGTACCTAGTAAGATATTTACTCCATTTTCTAGATAAAGCAGATTTGAAACTCCAAGTTGTCAGTTGATTTGACCAAGGTTGTAAGTGATGGAACAGGATTTGATCCCAGGTTTTTTTTTTTTTTTCCTCCTGCAGTATCCTCTCTGAAGAAAATGTATGGTGCTATACTGTCTGCAGCCATCTTTTTATTTAGCAGTCCCAACACTGTTTCACAGTAAATCAGATGAGGACACTTGCAGCATCAGGGGCTCAGAAAGCTTTCTTCTGGTGAAGTTCTGATAGCCTTTTCTCTCATGATTTAGGATTAGACAATGACTTTTTTTTAGACTTTAATTCAGGGAAATATATTTCTGCTAAACACTTTCCAGTAATTGTTCTTATAGACTGTAAAGCTATTACTGATCAAGTAGCGTTTTTTTCTAGTTGCTCGAGGGTTTGGGGCTTCTTTTTTCTTTTCTTTTCTTCTTTTTTTTTTTTTTCTTCTCACTCTTTTTAAAAACCTGTTTAAAAACAGTGTTACTGCTTTCTTAGGTTCTGGCATCATCAGCACCACCAAGTTCACCTAAAATCCTATTTCTATGCTGCGTATACTTCACTCTCTAAAGGTATGAACCCTGAACTGCACTAAAAATATCTTTCATACCATATTGCTATAATGCTAGAAGCTTCCCGTCACTGACTTGAATGGTGGCCAAATACAACGACACATAGTAACCACTTGGACCTGGAGTCCCAGAACCTGATTCTGTGCCTGGAAAGCATGGGTTGTTGCTATAGTTATTCACTGCCCTGCTTTTTCTCATCCAGCCATTTTTGAGGTTGATCTATGCTGTGTGGCTCTAAAGTAATGAAATTTAAAGCAAATGACTTTTTAGAACCCACACCAGCCAAAGGAGTGCTAGTTACACAATCCCTTTCCTTCTCTTCACTTCCAAAGTTCCTGATGAAACACTTCTCATTGGCTGGCTCTATTTTCCCATTGTAACCTTGTTTCTAGGTCTGATAGGGAGAGATGATGTTGATATGTCTTATTGTTTGCGATGTTCACCTTGATGCCTTTATTAAAAGGAGTGTCTGCTGGGTTTCTCTACTGTAAAGTTACTATTTATTTTTCTTTGTAATTAGTGATATCTTGCAGGAGAAACTTTGACACCATGTATATATCCAGTTTCTCCTCAAATTTTTACCCAGTAAATTCTAACATCTATCAATCGGATCTACCTACAGCAATTATTACTCTGTGGTGTTATAATGGTGATTTTTTTTATTTCCCTCATTCCGTCTACATTTTGTGATTTGAATTCTCCTGTGAGGAAGAGTTGTCCTCATTTATTTATTCAGTAACTTATTTATACCAATAGGGATTCATGGATATTTATTCTATGGGTTGTAATCCAATGCTGTTACTTATTTTGCTGTTCAAATGGTTCCAGCTCTGGCTATTGGGAGCTCTTTCAAGTTGGCTCCTGTCCTTCCAATAAGCTCCCATTCTTTTCGGAAACTACTTCCTTTCTACACCCTCCTTAACTTCTCTCTCTTCACCACCAGGGAACCCTGTCATGTTTTTATGATAGTTTCTACCTCATCACTATCTCTTGAAATATGCTTTTTTCTCTAAGGTCAAAGTATATGCAGGCCCTTATCAATCTCAGGCATTTAATTTCTCCCCTTTCAATTTTTGTGAAATCTACATTCTACATAAACTGTTACTTACTTATTACATTTTTTCAACTGACTCCTCCCTTTTTTTAACTACAGTAATCTACGTAAAAAGGAAAACTTTTAAATCATCTCAGACAAAGGGTTTAACTCAGGCCATAATCAGACTTCCCTGGTGGTCTCAAGATGTCCTTTTGCAGCTGGTTCATCTAAATCTTAATCCAAACATGGTCCATAGGTTGCATTGGGTTGTTTGATCTCTTGATTCTCCCTTAATATAGAGCAATCCCCTCTCACTTTTTTTTTTAAATGCCTTGTGTGACCTTGAGGATAATGTACAGGTAACACTTCCCTCCTGTTTGTACCCAATTCCTAATGTATCTAACACTCCTTATATTTAGGGGTATTTGGGTTTTTTTTTTTTCCCCATTTGGATACACTCGTTTTTTAAAAATTTTGTTTTATTTTTTTTCCTTTTTGTCTTTTTTTTACTGACCGGTAACGGGATCACAACCCTCGGTGTTGTGCCCGCACCGCGCTCAGCCAGTGAGCGGGAACCGGTCTCCACATGGGATCTGAACCCTCGGTGGGAGCACCGCCATGCTCCCAAGTGGCGCACTCTCCAGTGCGCCACCGGGCCGGTCCCCCCAAATTTTGTTTTTAATCGTGGTTAAAAAAATAACATAAAATTTACCCTCTTAACCATTTTTAACTGTACAATTCAGTAGTTTTAAGTATATTCACATTGTTATGTGAGCTTTTATGTGAACAGATCCCCAGAACTTTTTCATCTTACAAAACTAAAACTCTATACTCATTAAACAATAACTCATTTCCCCCTCGCCCCAGCCCCTGGCAACAACCATTATAACTCTCACTGTCTTTTTTTAAAGCTTTGTGTGATTATGCAAGTAATACTGCAAGTAAGTGGATCATTTGTCTTGTGGAACATCCCCATTCTAAAAGTAACTGTTTGCACCCTTTGGTGTCCTTAAGCTTGTTGCTCTCACTGTTATATTTCTTGTACATGAAAGCTAGCTTTAGATGCTGGAGACTTAATTAGATTCATCTTCAAATTCCTTGGCAAGAACACAGCATGGGTGGTTCTGTGTGCTTTATATCATATCCCACCAGGGGCACACAACGTCCACGTTTTTCAAAGGCCCAGCCTTTTAATGTCGTACTGCAAGCCAATGCACCAGTCACTGGCAGTGAGGTTTCAAAGTTTCACCATCACTGGATATTCTTCCTGGGCCAGATGCTTTCATTTCTTTTTTATTACCTCTTCTAGATTCTTCTCTACATGCCTAACCTCCATCACATCAGCCTGATCTTCAGACACTGAGTTAGAGGTGGTGGATCCTCCTTGAGGAGTGTGGATGTGGGCTGTTTGCTGACTATCCCGGGCCAGGGGTTATGGCTTCTCAAAGAGTCTTAATTAGGGAAAGTTAGGGTGCATCAGACTAGATTACCTTCGTTCTGATGCTCTTTTTATGCCACAAATGACAGCAGTGACAATGTGGGCAGTTAACACTGGCTGTCACCCATAGACTGTTTGGAATACATAGAATGGGCACAAGCCGTTGCCTCCATATTTTACAAGTTAAGCTTAAGCTTACTGCAGCGGTGGATATCCCAACCTATTTCTTTGGCTTTTAGCCTCCCACTTTTCTTGCTGTTATCCTAGTGGGCCCCCAAGGATAATGTACAGATCATCTTCCCTGCTTTTCCCACCCAATTCCTAACATATTTGACAGTTTTGGCACTGGTCTTATGTTCAGGTTAAATTGTTTTTTAAATTTAGAAACAGTCATGTTTTAAGTTTTTTTGTGGTGATGCAAATAATATATGAGGGCTCTTCAAAAAGTTTGTGGAAAGATGTGTATTATCTTTTAATTCCATTTTTGAAGTACACTTGTATATCCCTTGAAGAAAACTAGAAAATACATGTTTATTTTTTCTTTGAATATTTGTACTCATATTTTTCCCTCCCAGATATACTTGCTGCTAAAAGTTTGTGCCCAGATATTTTTTTCTTATGCATAGATCCATGTAGCTTTTAAAATAAAGGTATCATGAAATGAAATAATACCATAAACACTGTTTTGACAGGTATAATTTTTATTCTCATATATCATGAATGTCTTTCTTATCCATAAATATATGCCTAAGTTTCATTTTTCAGGACTGCGTACTACTTGGTTGCGTGAATATATCCTAATTTATTTTACGTAGCATTCTAGGGTTGGACACTGGGGTTGCTTGTAATTTATCTTTTGTACGTACGTTGCTGGTATAGTTATGCCTCCTCCCCTTTATCTCTCGGGTCTTAGAATTTTCCTTATTGATTTTCTCTAATCTTTGCATATGTTCTTGTTTTCTAAGGGAAAATTCTCAGTAGTGGAATTTCTTGACCAAAAGTTATGTGTATTTTGAAGGCTTGGGGACCCTTATCTCAGCAGGGTCTAAAAGTTGTGCTGATTTTTCTCTAGGGAATAACTATAAACCGCTCAACTCTCCTGCACACTTCTTTTCTCCTTGAAGAATTTGCACAATGAACCAGTGTTAGGAAATAACAGGATTGAAGTCAGGTCTGGAAAGAGCCACAGATGAACTGAAGTCGTTTGTCAGAACCCTAATTGTAAAATAATTTTATTAAGTATAGTTTCCTCACTAAACAAATAATATTAAGCATATTAAAGACAATTTGTGAAAGCAAAAAAGG